GGCAGCAGGAAGGCTTAGGGGTGCAGTTTGGCACGCAGCAGGGCTGCAGGGCGGGATCCCTGCCCTTTCTGATCTGGCTCTCCCCAAACTCCATGCGCTGCTCAAAGAGCACTTTCTGCAGTTTGATCTCCTGCAGCACCTGCAGCAACTCTGGCTCTGCGCTGCTCTGCAGCAGATCATAGTTCTCAGCAGGGTCTGACTCCAGGTCGAAGAGCAGCGGGGGCAAGTGAGGGGCAGGGGAGTCAGCCCGTGGCAGGCCTGGTCTGGGGTCGTATCGCTGTGAAAGGAACCTGCAAAAGAAACCCCCAGGCACAGCTCAGCTGCTTCTCTTTGGGCTCTGCACAGCAAAACCGTGCAGGACCTCACAAAGCATCCCATACAGAGGAGGGGAGGCAGCACTGACCTTGTGTGAAGAAATGGGCCTTGTACTTGCCAAGCCTGACGGCGAAGGGGCCGTGCAGCGGGTCAGGGGACGGCGGGTAGAAGAACATCACCTGGCGGGGACTCTGCGGGAGCAGTGGAGCTGAGCTCACCCCCGCAGCACCAAGGTTGAGGAAGAGCCCGAAGCAGGACCAGGCAGACCCCTGGGAGCTGCTCAGGAGCCCTGACACCACAGCCAGAGCATGGGCAGAGGAGGAAGCTGATGAGCAGCAGCATCGTGTCTGCTCCCTGCTCAGAGCCGCTGGGGCTCTGCCCATCCACAGGGGTTTGGCTGGGCAGCCCGTGGTGGGTGCTGGAGCAGAGCAGCTTGGGACAGCCCAAGAACCCCACAGCACAGCCCCAGCCAGGCAAAAGAGACCCCAGCCTAGGGAGCTCCCCTGACCCCGGCCAGTTCTGCTCCTCAGGCACGCAGCTCCACCCCCACACCCAGCGCCAGCTGAACCGGCCCACGGGACTCACCTTCCCAGCCCCAAACAGCACTGGACTCAGGTCGTAGCCATCCAGGGTGACTCTGGGCAGAGCTGCTCCAGCCAGGCCAGCCAGGGTGGGCAGGATGTCCAGGGTGCTCGCCAGCTCATGCGTCACTCCTGTCACCCCCCACAGCAAGGGACAAGGAGAGCTTCAAGCACCTGATCCCACTCCCAGCCCCACTTCTCTCCGCCCTCTGCTTGTCCCGGGGCAGCTGAGCTTTCACGACACCCTGCCTCGCCTGGCATCAGCACACAGAAGGCACAAGCAATGCAAGTCTCACCTGGAGCGATGCGGCCTGGCCAATACGCCATGGCTGGTTCCCGCATGCCACCTTCGTACGTTGTGCCCTTCCCACACTTCAGGAGGCCAGAACTGCCCCCGTGTGCCATCCGCATGGTGGAGGGGCTGCGAGAGAGAAGAAACACCCACCATCAGCTTCACAGGGTCACGACGCCTCTTCCCTGGTGCTGCCAAGCAGGCCACAACAAGAGAGACATGGTGCCAGTGAGTGACACTGCCGTCTTCCTCAGCCCTGCAAGGTGTGGGGCAGGTGAAGCTGCCAAGGTGTGCAAGATGCCCAAGCAGGGCACCAGAGACCAATGCCACCCACAAAGGGAATATTTAGGAAATTGGGGTAAACTGGGGCTCCTGTGGGCTCCTGGCCTGAAACCCACAAGGTTTCTGCCACACCAGCTGAGCCACAGGAACAAGGAAGAGATCACACGCTGGGTCCTCTCCGGAGCAGCGTCCACCTCTCACCTCACTTCAGGTCCCTGGGGTCTGCCACACCACGTCCCTTTTGCCCCAGCCACCAGTGCTTCCTTCCAGTTCCCCTGTACCACAGCAGCAGAATCTTACCAGTGATGAAGAGAGACCACTCACCCGTTGTCAGAGGTGAAAAACACCAAGGTTGTGTTTGCAAGACCATTTTCCTGCAGCGCCTGCAGCAGCTGTCCCACCGACCCATCGAACTCCGAGAGCGCATCACCAAACGGCCCACGCCGCGACTGCCCTGCGTACTCCCGGCTTGCGAACTGGGGGTAGTGTGTGTGCTGGAGAAAGGGCAGAGAAAGCTGCTACACGCACTTCCCCAGAGCTGTGTCTGCTTCCACGCTCCCCAGGGGACAGTGAACACCCAGCTGAGACATGGAGTTATGTGACAACACCCATGAGATGACAGGAGGCTTCACCCCAAGCTCAGAAATGGCACAAAGGAGCTGAGCCCCAGGAGAGGGTGTGGAGCCTTGAGTAGGAAGTTTTCCTGGGTGGACTCTGGACCCAAAGGAGTGGACAAAGCTCCAGGGAGCAGCAGCCCAGGAACATGATCAGAACGGTGCTGCCACGAGACCTAGGCGTGGGACCAGCAACCGCAGGGCAGCTGGGGGCAGGTGCTGACTGCTCAGCACGGCCCTGGGGCTGCAGAAGCAGAGATGCTTCCCTGCTCTCCTCACAGCACAGAGGCTCCCTTCCCCACCCTTGGGCCCGAAGCAGCCCCCCGCTCCTACATGGGAGGCGTAGTAGAGCAGGAAGGGGAGGCCTTGTCGCGCGCAGTCGGCGATGAAGTCCCGGGAGAACTTGTTGTAGAGTGGCACCAGATCAGGGAAGGAGACCGGCTGCTGCACGATGCTCTGGTTCCAGATCAGCGGGACTGGCACTAAGCCCTGGTCACAGGTCCCAAAGCACTTGATGTCAGGCGGGAAGCAGGTGAGATTCTGGCAGGGGCCCTGCAGAAAACAAATAACTGTGTCTTTTACTTGTGTTGTGGGACGGTGAGGAGAGGTGAGCAGAGTCCCACAGCAGCCCACCACCAGCTCCTGCGGGCACCCTTTGGGCAGCCACTCCCAGAAGCCCAGAGGTCTGTGCCCACCCTAGCACTGTCCAAGGACCGCGCTGCCCCCACACCATGCTCTCCCAACAGCGATTCAGAGGTTTCTTTGTAGCCCAGAAGCCGACCCTCCCGCCCTCGACAATGGCCCCGTGCAAAGCTGCACTATCCCACCAGTGCCTCTGAGATGGGCTGTCCCCTCCAGCACCTCTCTCCCCGGTCTGCAGCCACCTGCGCCCCTCTGTCCAGGCAAGCACAGACCCAGCCTCTGCGTGCTCAAGCAGGCTTTATCTCTTGGACACTCTCCTCTGCCAGCCCAGGACGCCCCTC